CCAGATGCTTCCAGAGGTATTTGTTATTCTTAGGCATGCGTTTCGAAGCCATGAGGAGAGCGCAATGCGCGCTGTCATAGAACGTGGCTGTGGAATTTGGTTTCTGTGAAAAATCCAGGGCTGGGCATGATGATGTGGAAGGTGAACGATTGCCCGCAGGCTTTCCCCGCGCATCGATCGTCGCCACGCCGTTGCGGACCGAAAAACAAGAGACGAGGAGGAGGAGGAGGAGGAGGAGGAGGAGGAGGAGGGCGATGAGGAGAATGAGGGCGAGGAGGCGGGGGGAATCTGCCCAACAACCCCTTTCCCCTCTCCAATCCTCCTCTAGTCGTGTCCCTGCTCTCCTCCTCCTCCTCCTCCTCCTCCTCCTCTCCTCCTTCCCTCCGCCACCTCGTCCTCCTCGCCCTGTCAGCCATGAGGGCGCTCCCGCCTTCGTTTCGCCCCGCGCCCCGGCGGCCCCCCCCCGCCCCCCGGGGTCGGCTGGCGCCGTCGCGGTCTATGGGCGGGGGCGAAAACGGTCTTTAAGAATATGGGCTGCCGCATGGAGGACGCAGAGGCGGAGGAAAAAAAGGAGGAGGAACTGCACTCCCCAGACAAGGAGCAGGTGGAAATCCAAGCGGAGTCTACCGAGGAGACTTGCCAATCAGTGGGCCAACGACGTCCTCGTCGTCGTCGTCCTCGTCGCGGTCGTCGTCGTCGTCGGATTCGTCGTCGCGGCCGCGTCGCTGGCCCAATGATGCCCATGGAATGCCCTTCCGATTATGATGCCATGGACCGAAGAGACATCAAGCGGTCGCGCCGCGTAGAGGCCCAGGGGGGGATTCGTTTTGGACTTCGCCCCGCCCCCGCCAGGAAGAGAACGCGCGGTCGTTGCGCGCTGCAGGGGCTCGAGCGGGGAGAGCGCGAAGCCCTGTCCGCCCAGGGACAAACTGCCCTGCCAATCCCGCCCTCCCCGCTAAGATCCCCCCCCCTCCCAAGCGCCCCATTCGCCATGGGGCGAAGGGAAATGCGCGCGGTGGAGAGGGGGGGAAACAAACTGGATGGGAAGAGCGGGGCGGGCGGGGCACTTTGATCCCTGGGCGATGAGCCCAGTTCCAGCGCAGGCGTTCCAAGCGCAATTTCGTTTTTTTTTTCGGCTCATCGCACCGCCCCCCGAGTCCGACCTGCGATGTTTCAAGCTCTGGGGTAAGAATAGATTGCCCAAGTGCGAACTGGGCTTTTTCGTCCAATGCCGGCCTGGTCGTCTGTGCGAGCGGTGCAATATCCGCCGCCCATGGAAAACATTTTTGAGCATCTTATCATGCGTTTTAACGGCGCTTGTCGGCATCGCTCCGACGACCCCCCTTTGCCAAACTTGCTGTATTTATGGACGCGCGTATAGTATGCATGTGTAACTTGTATATATATATATATATAGAGAGAGAGAGAGAGAGAGAGAGAGAGAGAGAGAGAGAGAGAGAGAGAGAGAGAGAGAGAGAGAGAGAGAGAGAGAGAGAGAGAGAGAGAGAAGAGAGAGAGAGGAGAGAAGAGAGAGAGAGAGAGAGAGAGAGAGAGAGAGAGAGAAGAGAGAGAGAGAAGAAGAGAGAGAGAGAGAGAGAAGAGAGGAGAGAGAGAGAGAGAGAGAGAGAGAGGAGAGAGAGAAAGAGAGAGACAAAAAACAAGATAGGAAGAAAAAAAAACGCGGGGGCCCGGCGCGGCCACTTCCCAGCGCCATCTCCTGTTCATTGCAGCGGGCCCGGTCGATATTTCGATGATGAACGGCTGTAGCTTTGATATTTTGCGCTCGCATTCGCGCTCGGAGGAGATCGCGAACACCGCGAATATCGCGGACGCGCCGCAAGATATATGCATATGTATCTCATGTATTTACTATTAGTATATATATATATGTGTATATATATATATATGCGTGCGATGTGGGCTTCATTGCGCACGCCCATGCGCCCCAATGTTCCGGGGCGCCATGGCGGAACATGCGTCGTGCGCGGACTTCGCGGATATCGCGTTCGGGCGCAAATCAAATGCGCTCGCTTCATGCACGCGGTTTCCCCCGCATACGAAGACGGCCATCCTGCGTCGAAGAAAAAAACAAAACGCGCACGCGCGCGCGTGGCGCGAGGCACGGAAATAAGCAAACACACAACATATAAAGATTGCGCGGGGCAAACGCGCTCGGCCCCCCCAGAGAAATTGGCAGATGAGCTCGGGTACTCCCGCGCGCGGGGGTCGCGGATCGGATTTTGAATGAGCGCAGACTACGCGTATATCGCCTTCGAGCGCAAATTCCTGCTGATGGCCCGCCCTGCGAGGCCACGGGGAAAACCTGGACACGGCGAGGGCCGAGTCTAGGGGCGCTTGCGCTGCGACAGGAAAAACAACCAGAACCCATGTCTACGAACAAAAAGAAATAACGGAATCGGCACGCCGTCTCCGATCCCCCCCACGCCCCTGCAGGGGGCAGGCCGCCCCGCGAGGGCGGGGAGGGCCGCGCCCTCACGTTTCACCGTGTTTCACCATGGCAACATCTGAGTTGCTGTGTTCCTGCCCTTCGTTCTAGAGGTCGAGGACAGGGCAATGTTGCGCGCGGGAGTGCGCCGCGCTGGGGCGCCCATACGGAAACGAAAAGGCGAGAAGCCAACGCTCATCAGTTTCTTTTCTAGGTGTTTGAATGAGTTTGGCTTCTTGGAGGCCTCCTTGGGCTATCTGACATCACGGGGCCGTCTTGGTGGCCCCTCCCCGAAGGGGAAGAAGGAGGTTGGAAGATGAAATCACCACCCACGCCCAGAGGGCTGGTGGGATTAGAGAAGGATGCGGCCCATCGGGGCGCATTTCGTTCCAGGTTCTCGACGCGCCTGCGGCTGGGGCGGACGGGCCTGGGAAGTACTACGCGCGTTGCATGCTTGTGCGCGATCGAGAAAAATAGCTTGATCCCCCAGGGAATGCGGCAGCAACCGTGTAATCCAGTGCAGGGCATATGTAGGAATATGAAAAAATAAACTGCGCCTGCGGCGGGCGTCCTGCAGCAGCAGCAGGCGCGCGAACAACGGCATGGGCCATCTGCGAATCGAACACCATCGCAATCATAATAAGTGCGAACAATTGTGATCGTGTGTAATATGTGTATCTATGTGTGTATGTATGTATGTATGTATGCATGCATGCATGTATGTATGTATATTAGAATAGACAAGGAATAGAGGAGGGACGCTCTCATCCACCCCCACGCCCACATCCATGGCGGCCCCTGGAAAACGGCGAGCGCCTCGGCGCCTGGCCGCCTTCGCCGAAAGAGGACCGAGGCAGGCGCGATCAAGCCTTTAGCGCATGAGTTTAGCCCGAGGAGTAAGAGGACGTGCCCGAGGACTCGGGCCGACTCGGGGACTCGTGCGCACGTGACAACTAATATGCGCGGTTTCCTGGGCATGCGCCTTTTCCGCACACGTCGAGCCACCCGGTGGGGGTGGGCGCATGCGGTTCCCCCACCCAGGGCAGCGTTTCGTGGCCCCATAGGGAGCTCCACCGAAGGCCCACGCGGGGGTGGGCGCATGCGTTTCCCCCACCCAGGGCAACGCTTCGTGGCCCCATAGGGAGCTCCACCGAAGGCCCCAGTGGGGGTGGGCGCATGCGGGTCCCCCACCCAGGGCAGCGCTTCGTGGCCCCATAGGGGGCTCCACCGAAGGCCCCAGTGGGGGTGGGCGCATGCGGTTCCCTCACCCAGGGCAGCGTTTCGTGGCCCCATGCAGTCGGGGCCCTGAAGAAGGAACCCTTTTCGTTGGGGAGGGGCTCAGTGTTCCTTGATTGTTTCGCAGCTTGCCTTGGATTTTCCTTTGGTTTTCGATACGAAATCAAAGTTCAACTTATAAAAAAATGCGGGTCTCGTTCCTTATTCAGGGTTCCTTGGGTCAACGCCCCGACTGTAGGGAGCTACGCCGAAGGCCCCAGTGGGGGTGGGCGCATGCGGTTCCCCCACCCAGGGCAGCGTTTCGTGGCCTCATAGGGAGCTCCACCGAAGGCCCCAGTGGGGGTGGGCGCATGCGGCTCCCCCACCCAGGGCAGCGTTTCGTGGCCCCATAGGGAGCTCCACCGAAGGCCCCAGTGGGGGTGGGCGCATGCGGGTCCCTCACACAGGGCAGCGCTTCGTGGCCCCATGGGGAGCTCCACCGAAGGTCCCAGTGTGGGGGGGGGGGCGCATGCGGTTCCCCCACTCAGGGCATCGTTTCGTTGCCCCATGGGGAGCTCCACCGAAGGTCCCAGTGGGGGGGCGCATGCGGTTCCCCCACCCAGGGCACCGCTTCGTGGCCCCCATGGGGAGCTCCACCGAAGGCCCCAGCGGGGGGGGGGGCGCATGCGTGTCCCGCTACCCACAGGACAAGTTTCGTGGCCCCATAGGGGCTCCACCGAAGGCCCCAGGGGGGGGGGGGGGGGGGGGGGGGCGCATGCGTCTCCCACGCCCAGGACAGCGCTTCGTGGCCCCATTGGGAGCTCTACCGAAGGGCCCAGTGACGGTGTCCACATGCGCCCCCCCCCTTCAGGACAGGGTTTCGTGACCCCATGGAGAGCTCCACCGAAGGTCGCAGTGGAGGTGTCCACATGCGTCCCCCACCCAACACAGCGCTTCGTGGCCCCATAGGGAGCTACACCTAAGGCCCCAGTGGCGGTGTCCACATGCGTCTCCCCCACCCATGACAGCGATTCGTGGCCCCATAAGGAGCTCCAGCGAAGGTCCTAATGGCGCAGTTCGCATGCGTCTCCCTCGCCCAGGGCAGCGTTTCGTGGCCCCATAGGGAGCTACACCGAAGGCCCCAGTGGCGGTGTCCACATGCGTCCGCGCCACCAATTTCGGCGCACCCCTCACAAAGTTTCGTGGCCCCATAGGAGTTTCACCGAAACCGGTACCCACAATGCGGTACTCGCAACTGCACAAGGTTGGGTCCTTCGTCAGGCTAATTTCTGTTCGTCCAAAATCCGCCCGTAGGGCGACATGCCCGACCTAATCGCAG